ATGGTTGAAGTGTTGATGTGCACTGAGCAATGGTTGAAGTGTGAAATTCATATGAATGAAAAAAGAGTGATTACAATTGAACAACTATTGCTGGAAGTAGAGTTGCAAGATGAGCTTATGAGAGGTAACTTCTTTCTTTTGAATTCGCTTTTCATATAATTTTTCAATTTTAATTTGTAAACTTATGTTTTTCATTGTTCTTTTACAGGTTGATCCTGAATTCGACATGCAAGGATTTTGACAATGAGGTATTTTGTCTCGCAGCTCTTGCTAATAGCTAGCCATGTTGTGTGCTGTTGCTTAAGTGTCCTAGTTGTTTTTATACATTTGAGTCTAAGATTGAGCATCGGTTTTCATAGGAAGTAGAGATCAGTGAAGAGTGAAGACTGAAGAGTGGAGAATGAAGAGTGAAGAGGTCACTTGATGGGGATTTTCTTCAATCTTCACTAAGAGTCTAAATCTCTAAGAGGTCGTTCAGCTATTTTTATTTCATATGAACACAAGTATGATTCATTTAATCACTTTGATGCTTTTGTCTTGGAAATGTTTGCATTTTGTACTCTATGTTATCTCTTGTATCTCTGTCTCTTTTTTTTTAGGATTTGAATTGGTATTTTTCTATCAAATGGTGGCTAAAATGTTGTTTTTGGAGTTTATTTTTTTCGGGTAAATGCTTTACATTTCGGGCAAGTGGGTAAACAAGTATTATTTCGGTTCCATTCGAGTAAAAAAAACTGATCTGAACTGAATTTTGAGGAGAACCGATTTATTTTGGATTTTTAACAGTTCTGATATTTGAGAACTGAATCTATCCGGAACCGATAGGTATCGAACCAAACCAGACTCGAAATGTTTTCGGTACTTATATGGGTAAAAAACTCTACTACCCGAAAGATCTGGAACCGAACCGAATACCCGAATGCTATCTGTGAGACAGCACTTAGAGACGGCATTAAATAAACAGTAAAAAAATAATATTTTTTTGGTTATATACATATAAAAAAAAATTATATAACTTGGTTGGGTCATGGTTATCAATTATTTACATAGGAGAACACTTTTAAGTTTTAACACTTTTTGAATTTCATGAAAAGCACTTCTTCAAACTTTGACACTTTGTATTGCTTTATCGATAGAAAAAACACTTTTCTTTTTTATCATTCTATTGTTGTTGACATTGAGTGGTGGTGGAAAAACAAGAAAATCGTGGCGGAGATATGAAAGCTTCAAGATATGGGATTTACCATTTTGAGCGTTAATGTCAATATTGTAATACTGTGTTAGCACTTGCATTCAAGTATGGTAAAATGTATGTGTGAGTTGTTGGCAAAAAACAAAGGGATGAAATGATCGTCAAAGGTGATTGATGATATGTTCCCCAATCACCAATCACCTTTAACGATCTAGGTTAATGACAGAGTATGAGAAGCTTTTTAATACATGTTAGATAATTTTGGGAAGGGAAATCTTTTTTCAGTTTTCGGAAGTCGAACTTATTCATTAGCCTGTGTATGCAGAATTCTATTTAATTTTTACTCTGGAGCTGTACCGCTCATCCCTAGAAGACAAAATTCGGAGACCAACTCTACGACCCGGAGAATCACACAATCTATGTAAGCATTTTGGGATAGCATTTTATAATGTGCTCTCGAACAGATGTACTTAATGAGCACCTATGGTGCCACGAGGATTGTTTCGGCAAAATCTTTGCATGAACCATTCGTGTTTGTGTGAAATAAAGATATGTCCGATCACCAATCCACCGAACACACCATGTACATAGGCTATTGCGACTGCTATCAAGTTTAACACTTCTTTTGGCTCAGACGAAAAATCCTAAGTTCTTTAATGTTGTGGAAAGAAGTTGATATCGATTTCATAAACTCCTTTTAGAATATTAAATGAATTTCTCTTTTTCTCTAATCTGCCGTCTAATAGTGCTATGTTTTATTAACAAGAAACGAAATGCAAAGCAAAATTGACGTTTGAGGTTAAAATCGACCAAGTCAACACTTTGACTCCATTAAAATCAAAACCTCACAGTATTAGAACACCGATCTTTGGTTTTCATGTCTTTCTTTCTTTTTCAGTAGACAATTTTGCCAGACCTTATCAAAGCATTTAGATCCTCAAGTATTATTATAAGGTCTGATAGATGACGTAGTCAGGAAGCAACTAAAAACAGAAACCAGAAAAACAGAGCCTATGAAGTTGGAATACTTCGAACGTTTTCCTTAAACATTCCTCTCTCTTAAACACTGCATAAATCGTAGTTTAAAAGACAAGCCGCAGAAATAGAATACTCCGACGTTTTTCTTTCTGTTAAAGCGATAAAAACTGAAAAGTCGTCATATGGTGCAAATTTTTCCATTACGAAAAGACCAAAACAATTACAACACCGACAATGTTTAATACAAAGAAAAAAGCCAAAACTGAAAATTACAGACACAATACTTGACGAACTAAGAAATATTGGATTACAGACCCACCAAACGTTTAAAGAAAAGCAAAATTGAGATAGATGGGCTTAATGAGCATGACTTATGGTGCCACGAGGACTGTTTCTGCGAAATCTTTGCATGAACCATTGGTGTTTGTGTGAAATGAAGATATGTCCGATCACCAATCCACAGAACACACCAGGTACATAGGCTATGGCAGCTGCTATCCAGTTAAACACTTCTTCCGGCTCAGACGAGAAATCATCGGGTTGTTGTGATGTTGCATCCGGAACATGGATTCTTCCACAGATTTGCTCGAGACCAGTGAGTCCGAGATTGTCCTCGAATGAAGAACAATTCTGTCTTTGAAACTGTGTGCCTCGTGGCACTGGACCTTCTAAAAGGTTGTGAGAAAGGTCCAAGTATGACAGGAAGGAGAGATCACCAAGCTTGCCAGGAATATGACCCGAAAGCTTATTGCGAGAGAGGTCCAGTGCCTCCAGATTTGTGATATTCGCCAATGATAATGGGATATTGCCTGTGAATGCATTACCTGACAAGTTGAGAAGACGCAAGTCCTTCAACAAGCCAATGGATTTAGGGATCCTTCCTTCGAATTTATTCCCAGAAAAATCGATGGCTTTGTAGGCGCTGAAGATCCGTGAAAACTCTGTTTCTACACCTTTATGAATCATATCCATCGAATCTTCAAAATCGTAGGTTTTTTTGCCACTGTATAACGAAAATCCCAAATACATAGGATACTCATACGATTCGGTTTCATCTCTCCACACCGATGACATTTCAAGCCAGTTCACAAAATAATTTTGTGGCAGTGTTCCACTGAAGCTATTATGCGATATGTCAATGACTCGCAAAGTTGAAAACCCAAAATGCGTAGATGAGCTATAGATTGGACCATAAAACGCATTTGATCCGAGCAACAGAACACGTAGTGATCCCAAAGATTTCAGCCAAGACGGAAACGTGTCGTTGATCTTGTTTCCTTTCAAATTCAGAAATTCCATCTTCTTACAGTTGACCAAAGATTTTGGAAGCTTCCCCAAAAGCTGGTTGCGGCTAACATCTAGTGTTCGTAACTCAGTAGCATTGGTAAAGATATTCGGAAGAATTCCGCTGAAGTTGTTGTTTCTTAGATTTAGATATACAAGCTGAGAATCAATGGAATTCATCCAACATGAAGGAATGGAGCCAGTGAGGTGGTTGTTCGACAAGTCTAAGAAGTTTAATGATCTGACCTTACAGATCCATTGAGGAAATACTCCTTGGAGTGAATTGGAACCAAGATCAAAGGAACCTCCATTGAAGATAGCTTTCAGTGAATAGACAACTTCCAGTGAATTTTCGAGGCTAATGAACGAATTATGAGAAAGCCTCAACGAAGATAGTCTCCATAAGAAACTCGGTACTTGACCTTCCAACTTATTGTAAGAGAGATCAAGGTCAGTGAGTGAGGCTAATTTGGACATAGACCTAGGGATTGTCCCAATGAAACTGTTATGGCTAAGATCTAAATACCCGAGATTGAGAAATCCAGATATAGATTCTGGGATTGGTCCATAAAAATTGTTATGAGCAAGGTCTATAAGATCCATATACGAGTATGATGTATTTGCACTCATTTCAAAGGGAAATGTGGATTTGAAGTGATTATTGCTAAGCTCTAAACTATACAAACTGGTTAAATTTGGTAGTATACGATGGAAATCTCCACCGCTGAATTGATTATGAGCGAGGCCTAAAATGGACAACTTATTGAGATTGGCAAATGAAATAGGAATGTTACCACTCAAGTTGTTTGAGGAAAATCCCAGGGATGTTAGTTGGTTCAGGTTGCCTATTGAAGATGGAACTTCACCTACCAAGAAATTCATCATTAGGGAAAGATCTGTGAGACGAGATTTCCTAGTGAAGATGGAATCTTCCCTGTTAGATGGTTGGTATGAAGACTCAAGCTGTTTAGTTGTTTAAGGTTGCCGAGGGAAGGCGGAATTTCACCTACCAAGGAGTTCTCAAAAAGATTTAGATTTGTGAGGTAAGACAAGTTACCTAGTGAAGATGGAATTTCACCTACCAAACTATTACCATAAAGCTCTAAATATACGAGGTGAGACAGGTTTCCTAGTGAAGAAGGGATTTCTCCTATAAGCTTGCAGTCGACAAGGCTTAGGTGACGAAGATGTTGGAGTTTAAAAAGGCTACTGTTTGATTTCAAAGAGTTATTGAAAGGGATGGTATCAAGGAGGAGAGATATCACCTCACCGGATTTAGCATCGCATGTGACACATTTCCAAGAACAGTAATCACTGCTGCTCGTGTTCCATGAACTTAGATCATACAAAACATTTGGGTCTGATGCATTGATCGGAAATTCGTTTTTGAATTCCAAAAGTGCATCCCTTTGGAGAGTAGGGGAAGCAAGAGTGTATAAAATAAGGGAAGCGAAGAAGAAGAAAAAAGATTGGCTCGGAATCATCACATATCCTTTTCTTTTCTCTTTTCTAATGTTTGTGGTAAGTAGTAAGTTGTGTATTGCTGATGGGGTTCTTATATAGAGCTTCTCAAGTCGTCTCTGTTGATTTTTCAAGTCTTCGGCTCAAAACCATTATTAGCTCATTCTTTCGTCTCCCCTGCGACACGGCATTGTAACAAGTGAGTCCATAGGACGATGGCCATTATTTACCTTCTTATTTTAATGCTTACAAATATTTAATCAGGAATTTATAAGATTTAAGTTTTCTACTCTTTAACATCTTACATATCGTTTGATGTTTTTATCAAATGAACATTTTCATATTGGTTTGCTAATTATTAACTTTTTCGTTCAAATGGTTCGCTAATTATTAACTTTCTTTTATTAAAATGTAAAATTGTAAATATCTGATTATCTAGGGCTATTTGTTTTGTTTTTTTTTTTAATGTAAATATCTGATAAGGAGAAAAAGAATATATAATCTCTGATTAGGGGTTACAGAGAACGAGCCAAAGACTTAAAAATATCTATAAACCTGGCGACTTATATGGGATCTGACTAGTAAACTTTGCGGAATAGTGGCACTGGCGCGTCTATAGTCATGTTTGTTGCTCTAACTGGATAGATCATCTGAATGGAGAAGAGAATTTTGTTTGTTTTAAGAAAATCGAAAATCATCTAGATGAACCGATTTGGTTCAGTTAGCTGGAGATGATCCTAAAACAATGACGAAAATATCCCTAACTTAAACCAACAATTACAACTGTATTAGAACTTTCGGACTCTCGAACTCTCTCCGACGTTGCCGTCTTCTCTCTCACTTTCTCGGCTCTCTCACTCTCTCCTCCGAAGCCGCCGTCTTCTCTCTCTCTTTTCCGACTTCTCTGGCGAGTCTCTTACACAGGTGAGCTTCTCTCTCTCTTTTCTTCTGGGTTTTGCTCTGCATTTTGCTTGGTATCGTACTTGGGTTGGCTGAGATTGCTTTGAGCTGGGTTTGCTTGGTATCGTACAAGTCAATTAGATTCTCTGTGTTTCTGCGTATTTCTTCGCTCTTTCTTTTGAACAATTTCCGTCGTTTTGATTCTGGGATCTGCTCAGAGAGGGATTGACTATAAGGCTTTTAGGATATTGGCTTAGGATTTGAAGTTTGCTCATCATTTCCTCTCTGGGTTTCTTTTGCTTTGATCCGATTACAACTTTTACGACTACAAAATTTTGCTCATCATTGCCTCTCTAGTTTTGTCTTGTGTGCTTTCGGATAGTTGTGTTTGAAGTTTGCTAATGATAGTCTCATCACTCTTACTTCTTGTATTTGCTTGTTGGCGATCTGAATGTAGCTCTGCTTCTGTGGTTTGGGTTCGATTCAACATGACGATCCGAATTCTCAACCGTCAATCCAGATTATGTAGTAAAACTATTATGTCTGCGAAGCTGTATAGTTCAGGTGGACAAGCCATTGATGTTGCGGAGGTGGCAAATAACATATCTAAAGTAATGATGTCTTCTCCGCAATCCGTGCTTGACGCCGCATTAGATCAAAGCGGCTTAAGGGTTTCACCGGAAGTAGCAGAAGATGTTCTAAACCGATTCAGGAATGCCGGTTTATTGGCATACCGGTTCTTCCAGTGGTCTGAGAAGCAACGGCATTACGAGCACAGTGTCCGTGCTTACCACATGATGATCGAGTCTACCGCAAAGATAAGGCAGTACAAGCTCATGTGGGATCTCATCAACTCCATGAGGAAGAAGAAGATGCTAAACATCGAGACTTTTTGTATCGTGATGAGGAAGTACGCGAGGGCGCAGAAAGTGGACGAGGCCATCTACGCGTTCAACGTCATGGAGAAGTATGATTTGCCGCCGAACCTTATGGCGTTCAACGGGTTGTTGAGTGCTTTGTGTAAATCCAAGAATGTGAGGAAAGCTCAGGAGATATTCGAGAAGATGAGAGATCGGTTTACTCCTGACTCCAAAACGTATAGCATTTTGCTTGAAGGATGGGGTAAAGAACCAAACTTGCCAAAGGCGAGAGAGGTGTTCCGGGAAATGGTCGATGCGGGTTGTGATCCCGATATAGTGACGTATAGTATAATGGTTGATATACTCTGTAAAGCTGGAAGAGTCGATGAAGCTCTTGGCATTGTGAGGAGCATGGATCCAAGCATTTGCAAGCCGACAACTTTCATCTACAGTGTGCTTGTGCATACTTGTGGAACCGAGAACCGGCTTGAAGAGGCGGTTGATACGTTCCTAGAGATGGAGAGAAGCGGGATAGAAGCAGATGTAGCGGTTTTCAATTCATTGATCAGCGCATTTTGCAAAGCAGATAGGATGAAGAATGTGTATAGGGTTTTGAAAGAAATGAAGACTAAGGGAGTGACGCCTAACTCCAAGTCATGTAACATCATTCTACGCCACCTAATAGACCGTGGTGAGAGAGATGAAGCTTTCGATGTGTTTAGGAAGATGATCAAAGTGTGTGAACCGGATGCAGACACATACACGATGATGATAAAGATGTTTTGTGAGAAGAAAGAGATGGAGACTGCTGATAAAGTGTGGAAGTACATGAGGAAGCAAGGGGTTTTCCCAAGCATGCATACATTCGCGGTTCTTATTAACGGGTTGTGTGAGGAGCGTAATTCTCAGAAAGCTTGTGTTTTGTTAGAGGAGATGATCGAGATGGGGATTCGACCATCGGGTGTGACGTTTGGGAGAATAAGACAGCTGCTTCTCAAGGAAAGTAGAGAAGATGTGCTCAAGTTTCTTAACGAGAAGATGAATCATTTGGTCAATGAGCCTTTGTGTGATTGATTGACCACACTTTTAGCTAGTAGAGAGGCAGTATTGCTCTCCCGGAATAGGCAGAGTCAAAGTCATCATACACAGATTTGGGAAAAGATGATACGATTATGAACATCGATGGTAACTTGATGGATCCACAGCTTTGCGGTGTCTTTTCTTATGATTATCTACGAGCACTTGCGTGCATCCGAGGTGATTGCTGTCAGATTTTCCCAGGCACAGTTCTCATACGAAATTGCTCTGTTTCTGAGTTCGCTCATTACTCTCTGCAGGTTAAGAAAAGGCCGGCTCTAGATTACATGGAGAGGATTCAGTTAAACATTAATGCTAGCATGCGTTCCATACTGATTGACTGGCTCGTGGAGGTACGTTTTCGATGAATCCTGGTTCATGAAAGCAATGCATTTAGTTTAGTTTTATGAGGCAAGACGTTTTAGTTATAGATAAAGCGTTGTTGTATAGATTTTCCACTGGTATGAGCTGTTCTCTGAATTTTCATAAAACTACAGGTCACTGAAGAGTATAGGCTTTTGTTTGTATTTGGCAGTGAACTATGTAGACCGGTATCTTTCAGGCAATGTAATTACCAAGCAAGACCTGCAGTTACTTGGTGTTTCATGCATGATGATAGCAGCGTAAGAATTCTAAAAAAATTACTCTGAGGTTTCATACTTTGGCGTCTTCAGAAGTAAGCAGTTCCTAACTAGTTTACATACTGAACTTCCAGAAAATATGAAGAAGTGTGTGTGCCCCAAGTGGAGGATTTCTGTTACATCACTGATAACACGTATTTGAGAAACGAGGTTTGTGCTTTGGTCTTTCGTGGACAAACTCTTCTTCTTGTGATTAGATATGGCAGTAATACATCGTTAACCTTACATGTTTGTAACAGATTTTGGAGATGGAGTCTTTTGTTCTGAATTAACAACTCCAACAGCAAAATGTTTCTAGAGGTAGCTTCTGATTATATTGATGCTACTCTGGTCATCATTTTTTGTGTGTGTGGTTCCCTGCTGATCTGAACTTGTAAAAGTGGTGGTTAGGCGCTTCGTTCGTGCTGCTCAAGGGAAACAGGAGGTATAGTGACAACTGAAGATGAGCTCTCTACGCGAATGGATGATGGTTATTACTTTTCTAAACTGTTGACTGCTTTGCATTAGGTACCATCACTGATGTTTGGGTGTCTAGCCAGCTATATCACCGAATTATCTCTCTTGGATTATGCTATGTGACACAACCTCGAGAATGCCATCAAGGATCAATGGACATGATGGTCTAGCCAAGGGTAAAGGAGAGACGATCTCTCTTGGAGAACATATCATGAATAAAGGAGAGACTATCTTTCATGATTTGTTCTTTCTGGATCTCTATCCTTCCATGCATTCAGACCCAGCCTGGAATTGGAGAGCATACTCAACTCACCTAGAGATCACCACGAAGAAGAATCAGTTAAAAAGAAGTCCATATGAAGAAGATATTGAAGATACAAGTTGGCAGATCTTCAATGAACCCGCTGGAGACATGCGACCAGTAATAAAATCATTCTGGCCAAACGACGACGAATCAAGCAACAAGACCGGATGTTTTGGAAACTTAACTCATCAGAGAACCGAGGCGAATTTGATTCATACCAAACAGAGTTCAAACGAAGGAGTTATTCATGTTCAAAGTTGGGTGAACTGGAGCTTACCCGTATTGGATATGCGAACGGTTATTGGAGCTTCCGAACCAGGAGGAATTAAGCTACAAACCGACTTGCATTGCAATCTTGATTCATCAGAGGACCAGGGCGAATTGGAATCACATCAATATCGGTTCTGATGTGATGCTCAACCTGCCTTATTTGGAAGTTCTCGAGATTATACATTTACTAAAAAGACTTTGGCGACCAGGAGAGTTTATTATTCATCTAGAAGCCACTCAAGACGTCTTACCATGGTCCAGTATCCAGAGGATTAGGCGAATCTTCTTGCACTTCAACTTTCTTTTTCAAGACACATCCACACTTGGTGCTTTTATAAAGTTCACCCCAAAGCTCTTTGAATCTTCCCAACGGTCATATTATGTTCAACTTTTGGATGTACTGAAGCCTCCCTACGTCCTCCAAAAAGTTCCAAAGGCATGCCACTTCCTTCCCAAGCTTTCAAGATACAAGGAGCCTCCATCTTACCTTATTTGAAGGATTTGATACATAAAGCCTATAACGGCTAGTTCTTTAATTTTATTGATTTCTTTTTTTCTTTTGTTAGCTTTAGACCGTTATGCTGAGCCTATATAAGCTCCATCTAGTCGTTCATTTGTAATTACCCTTGATCATTGAAAGTAATAGAAACATTTTGTTCTTTTCATAAAGTAAGAGTTCTTTGTGATTATTTCTCTTTAGAGTCTTAAGTGTGTGATTCACTTTAGGTCTATAGAAACCCACGAATTGAGAGTGCTTGAATGATTCAATACTCTTATTTGTGCCACTGATTGAGCGAGTCAATCTCTTTCACCATCCATACCGACTTCATTCCACCTTCCGCATCCATAAGCTTGAAATCTCTTGATCATGGAGTATTCATAAGTTGGAGTGATTCCAAGCTTGTGTCATTTGGTATCAGAGCTAAAAGCTCCTATCATCAGGTTGTATCTCTTCAACCTTTATCTTTTAAATTTTCTGCTTTGTTTTGTTTTTTTTACATATAACAAAAAAATCCATAAAAAAATTGCTCTTGTTTATGCTCTTTAATTGTTTCATTTGTTTCTTATAAATCAAAAACCAAAAAAAAAAAATATTTGTTTCAGTCCTTGTTAAGTTTGTTTCATAATCTAAAAGTTAAAAAAAAAAATCATTTGCTATTTATTTCTATTTTATTTTCAAAGAAAACCCCAAAAAAAAATCTGAAAAAGTTGTTTCTTTCTCTGTTTTGTTTTCATAAAATAAAAACAAAAATAAAAAGTTTATTTTTGTTAATATCTGAATTTATTTCGTCCATCTATCATAAAAAGAAAAGAAAATTTTGTTTTGTTTATTTTGTTTCCACTTGTTTGAATTTTAAAAACCAGAAAATCAACAAAAAAGTTTTATTTCCTTTTTCAAATTATTTGCTCTTAACTTTTGTATATCACGGCTGAATTTGATTCTGATTATCGATTTGTCTTTGTGTTTACAAGGTACTCCTTTGATAAAAACAAGTAGAAATCATGGATTATAGTTCTGAAGAAGAAGAAGACCCATATGAGCACTCCTATGAAGTTGATTGGAACCAAGAAGAAACTTTCAGCCAAAACTCATGGGCAGAAGGAGAACAAGGAGCAGAGACGTGGTCTGACTCAGAGGAGGAATATAGAGACACACCATATCCAGAGAAAATCGATCCTAAGCCCCCAGAACCACCAGACCAGTTCACAAGGAACTATGGAAGCAATGAAGAAGAGGAATATGAAGATGACTTATGCTGTGAAGAAACTGAATCTCAAATCACTCTAGAAGAAGGAAAACACCAAACTGAACTAGAGCATGAGGAGTTCTATCATGAAGAAGAACTAGACAATTTCGTGGATCCTTACCATGAAGGCAAGCCATGGTGTGAAGAAACTGATTCTCAAATCAGTTTAGAAGAAACTGAGCAGAATGGTGAAGAATTAGAATACCAAGATGAGTATGCTCATGAGAGTGAAGACATCAATGAGGTTGAGAGATGGGAGGGAGATGAGCCAGGACGTGGTGACATGGAGCCAGCACCACCAGATCATACTTCACATTGTTACACCTACCAATCAGAAAGCAACCAAGGTAATAGTTGTGAAAATTTTGATTTTCAACTAATAACCTTTTCAGGTCATAAGCAAGGGCCGGAAGCTTATATAAAATGGGAAAGGGAACTTGAGTATTGGTTTCGGTTCTACAACATCCCAAAGGAGGAGAGACTAGCCAAAGTTGTTAACTCACTTGTTGGAGAAGCATCTTCATGGTGGATGAGTGAAGAACTTATGTCCCACTACAATAAGCCAGTTCTTACTTGGGGAGATCTGAAGCAGCGAATGTACAAGGAGTTTGTACTGAGGTTCCACAACCAGAGCCACACACCTAAGAGGCTTACGTTTCAGACAATTACAAGAGAGGCTAAGAAACCAGTGAAGGAGGTTCAACAAAATTCAATTTTTATACCCTCACTTGAACTTCAAGGAAAATCACTTCAAAGTAAGTCTTCTAACTCTAACTCTATAAAGTTAAAAGAACCTACATGTTATAGATGTCATAGGAAATGACATTTCGCTGCAACTTGTCCTCAAAGACAAGTTATAAAATCAACATCACTAGAACAGAATTTGAAATCATCTAAGTTAAGTGATTGTCTTGATAAAACAAGTTTCAATTCTTCCAATTCTAGTATCATGCACTTGTCTTTGCCCAAAGATGTTCCTACAGGTACTACTCATACAGAGGATGAGGAAGCCAGAGGTAGAGAAGAAGCTCTAGAGACGGACCAAAGCATTAGCATCATTGAGCAACAAGTCAATGAGAAACAAGAAATTGTTTCTACTCCTAAAAATGCAAAGGTTCATTCTGAAAATTATCTCTTTGTTTTTAACAATGCCAAGACTTTTTTAATACACTTGCTTCTTGCCAGAAGTGTAAAGACTAATGCAGGAACCAAGGAGATATACAAGACCCATGAGCCACCTGATTCTTCACACTACATCAGAGGAGAAACTAAGGGAGAAAGCCTAAGTGAAAGAGGAGATTTCACAAGTGATGATGAGATTATGTGTCAGCCACACAAACATGGTTCCATATACTCCTTGTTAATAAAAGAAGTACCTCCAGATGCTCAAGCACAACCCCAACCGAGCTACCAACAAAACTGTATCCAAGGTAAACTTCTAAACTCACATTTAATTCATGAAACTAACTTGAGTTATCTATGTGCAGATGAACTAGTTTTGAGGACAAAACCTTTTGAAGAAGGAGAGGATGACACAACCTCGAGAATGCCATCAACCTTGGAGAAGAGGATCAATGGACATGATGGTCTAGCCAAGGGTAAATGAGAGACGATCTCCCTTGGAGAACATATCATGAATAAAGGAGAGACTATCTTTCATGATTTGTTCTTTCTGGACCTCTATCCTTCCGTGCATTCAGACCCAGCCTGGAATTGGAGAGCATACTCAACTCACCTAGAGATCACAACGAAGAAGAATCAGCTAAAAAGAAGTCCATATGAAGAAGATATTGAAGATACAAGTTGGCAGATCTTCAATGAACCCGCTGGAGACATGCGACCAGTAATAAAATCATTCCGGCCAAACGACGACGAATCAAGCAACAAGACCGGATGTTTTGGAAACTTAACTCATCAGAGAATCGAGGCGAATTTGATTCATACCAAACAGAGTTCAAACGAAGGAGTTATTCATGTTCAAAGTTGGGTGAACCGGAGCTTACCCGTATTGGATATGCGAGCGGTTATTGGAGGTTTCCCACCGAACCAGGAGGAACTAAGCTACGAACCGACTTGCATTGCAATCTTGATTCATCAGAGGACCGGGGCGAATTGGAATCACATCAATATCGGTTCTGATGTGAAAGTTATGGAGTTTCTAAACCGGATGATGCTCAACCTGCCTTATTTGGAAGCTCTCGAGATTATACATTTACTAAGAAGACTTTGGCGACCAGGAGAGTTTATTATTCATCTAGAAGCCACTCAAGACGTCTTACCATGGTCCAGCATCCAGAGGATTAGGCGAATCCTCTTGCACTTCAACTTTCCTTTTCAAGACACATTCACACTTGGTGCTTTTATGAAGTTCACCCCAATGCTCTTTGAATCTTCCCAACGGTCATATTATGTTCAACTTTTAGATGTACTGAAGCCTCCCTACGTCCTCCAGAAAGTTCCAAAGGCGTGCCACTTCCTTCCCAAGCTTTCAAGATACAAGGAGCCTCCATCTTATCTTATTTGAAGGATTTGATACATAAAGCCTATAACGGCTAGTTCTTTAATTTTATTGATTTCTTTCTTTCTTTTGTTAGCTTTAGACCGTTATGCTGAGCCTATATAAGCTCCATCTAGTCGTTCATTTGTAATTATTCTTGATCATTGAAAGTAATAGAAACATTTTATTCTTTTCATAAAGTAAGAGTTCTTTGTGATTATTTCTCTTTAGAGTCTTAAGTGTGTGATTCACTTTAGGTCTATAGAAACCCACGAATTGAGAGTGCTTGAGTGATTCAATACTCTTATTTGTGCCACTGATTGAGCGAGTCAATCTCTTTCACCATCCATACCGACTTCATTCCACCTTCCGCATCCATAAGCTTGAAATCTCTTGATCATGGAGTGTTCATAAGTTGGAGTGATTCCAAACTTGTGTATGCTTCGATACGCTCCATCACTTGTCGCAGCCTCTGCAGCTTCTTAAGGTTGCGTATTGAAAGGGGGAATTTCACCTACCAAATTATTATAAGAAAGATGTAAATCTGTGAGCTGAGAAAGGTTTCCTAGTGAAGAAGGGATCTCTCCTAGAAAGTGATTACAAGAAAGATCTAAATCTGTGAAGGGAGTCAGGTTTCCTAGTGAAGAAGGAATTTCTCCTATGAGATTGCAATATGAAAGGTCTATGTGACTAAGATGTTGGAGTTTAAAAAGGCTACTGTTTGATTTCAAAGAGCTATTAAGTGTTTGATTTCTCTTTTTAAGTGTTTGTGGTAAGTAGTAAGTTGTGTAGTAATGCTGATGGGGTTTCTTTATAGAGAATCTTAGGTTTCTCAAGTCGTCTCTGTTGATTTTTCAAGTCTTGTGTGATTAGTGTGAATCGCTCCACTTAAACCATTATTTGGCTCATTCTTTCGTCCCCCCGCGGCACGTCATTGTAACAAATGGTCCATATTTGCTTTCTATTATTGTTAATGCTTATAAAATTTAATCAGGAATTTATACGATTTAAGTTTTCTACTGTTTAACATCTTACATATTATACTGTGGTTTGATATTTTTTTTTATCAAATGAACATTTTTTTATATTGGTTTGCTATTCCTTTTTCGTTTAAATGGTTCGCTAATTATTGACTTTTTTTTTATTGAAATGTAAAATTGTAAATATCTGAAAGTCGATAAGAAAAAAAAAAGAATATATAATAATCTCTGATTAGGGGTTACAGAGAACGAGCCAAAGACTTAAAAATATCTAAAAACTTGGCGACATATTTTGATTTGACAATCCTTTCTTCCTTGAAATTTCCTTTGAGAGATCGATCCTTTGCCCTACGCACAAGTTTCTTCTCCTTCCCACTATACCCAAATTCCAAATTCTCTTCCTTTTTCCTTTATCGTTTTTTTCTTTGCGACAAAGGGATTCGATTTCAGATTTCCGAGTTCCAGAATTCAGAATTCAGAATTCAAAATCTTTTTATCAGAGTTTGAATCTTTCTTCGAGTTATGGTGAAATCGGCGGAGGGTGTTGGGTCATCGTCTTCTTCTTCTTCTTCTTCAGTGGCGCCGTTCCTGAGGAAATGCTACGAGATGGTTGACGATTCTTCAACCGACTCTATAATCTCGTGGAGTCCTAATGGTGATAACAGCTTCCTTATCTCTGACACGGCCGTCTTCTCTGTTCAACTCCTCCCCAAATACTTCAAGCACAGCAATCTCTCTAGCTTCATCCGTCAGCTCAATATCTACGTTAGTCTCTCTCACTCTTCAATTTTGCTTATTAGAATTATGGCTCTCGTCAGAATCAAGAACTATATGCTCTTGTGCTGAATTGCCCCATTTGATGTTTCTTTGTACAGTCCAATTTCGTAGTTTTGTGTGGAACCTTGGAATCGTTGGCTTGAGTTCTAACTTCAATGTTTCTCTGCTTCTATAAAGTGGAAAGCTTTTAGAGAAATTTGATTACTTAATGTCAATCTCATCGCCAAATTCCACTAGCAAATTAGATGATGAATTGGATATGGAACAGGAAGAAAGATGTTTTGTTCAGCTTCTATGATAAGTGAGAACATTAGTTACATCTTGAAGATTCTTTTACCTGAGTGTAATCATCAGTATAGTGAGAATTTGGTTGATACAAGGGTCCATTCAATCTCTGTGTGCATGTGGCTGAGAGAGAGAGAGTAACGTTTGTGATTATTTTATTGGTTTCAGGGTTTTCGAAAAGTTGATGCAGATCGTTGGGAGTTTGCGAACGACGGGTTTGTAAGAGGCCAAAAGGATTTGCTAAAGAACGTTACCCGGAGGAAAAACGCTCAAATCAGTGAGCATCATCAGAGCAAAAGCGTCTACAAACAAGAAAGCACAAGCGACGATGCTTCTCAGGGAAAGCCAGAGAAGAGTGGGTTGTGGAAAGAAGTTGATATCTTGAAAGGCAACAAGAACGCATTAGCGCAGGAGCTGATCAAAGTCAGGCAGTACCAAGAGACCACGGACACGAAGATGTCACATTTAGAAGACAGAGTGCAAGGAATGGAAGAGAGCCAACAGGAGATGCTTTCGTTCTTGGTAATGGTTATGCAGAATCCAAGCCTCTTGGTTCAGTTGCTTCAGCCAAAGGAAAAGAATTGGAGAAAGGCGGAAGGAGGAGCAACGATTTTGGAAGAAGTTACCGATGAAGGAGAATCAAACTCAAAGGGACTTCCTTTAGTGACATATCAGCCACCATCAGATGGAACAGCAAGCTCTAATGACATAAACGATTTCTTGAGAAACGCAGATATGTTGAAATTCTGCCTTGATGAGAATCATGTGCCGTTGATCATACCTGATCTGTATGATGATGGGGCATGGGAGAAGCTTTTGTTGTTGAGTCCTTCATCGAAGAAGAAGAAGAAGAACATTGTGAAGAAAGGAAAAGATGATGCGACGTTGGAGGAGAAAGAGGAGGAGGAGGATGGAGCAATGGAGTTAGACAACAAGAGCCGTATGCTTGAGCTGATACAAGAAGAGATGGAGAAACAAGATGACTTTGAATTTGGACAGCTTTCTCCTGAGAAGTCTAGGAATCTTGAGATTCTTACAGAGCAGATGGGCTTGCTGGCTTCAAATCAATAGCACAGAGGATTTATCAAAACTTTTTGAGTTTTTTGAACATATTCAGCCTCAAAACTTTTGTTATGTAAAACTTTTTTTTGTAGTGAATAACAAAAGTAGGCTCTTAAATAGTTACATTTTCGCTGGAACAGTTCGTCAGTTCGTAAATATGTTCTTACTTCTTACTAAAAAAACAGAGACATTTTTTCATTATGAATTATGGGCTGGGCCGAAAAGGCTTATTTTAAGGCCCATACTTGCACAAAATACGCTGCTAGGGTTATTTCACAACTCTTTGAGTTCCTCCTCCAATGTCCTATATATTATTCCGCAGTTTTTTGAGTCAAAACATCAACTTGTAGCGTCGTTCTTTTGCAACTCTTCTTTCTCTGAAGTTCAATGTATTATAGAGTCTCGTTCTTCTTTTTATCGTTTTGGCAAATTTCTTTCGAGAATCATAAAGTTGTATATGCCTCTGATGATGATCAAAATCATAAAACTTTCGTTCTTCCGAGATAATTCGTGCGGAAAACTATGGAGACCTGAACTGAATGGAGGCATATATATGTTTTTAAAAGATTTATTAATTGTTTTCTGGAAATTGATTTCTATGGTATATCTTCTCAGTTTGAATCTGATGATGTTAAAACTATAAACTTTCGTTCTCCTGAGCTTAATATATGCTGAGAAAATATTGGAGACCTGAACTGAAGATTTCATCATGAGAAGATTCCTTTAATTGCTTTTATTGTTTAAATGAAATTGAAAATTTTGAAAATGAAGTAATTGAATCTGGCCAAAATGTGTAAGTGGGAGAATATTTTAATTGTCAACATCTATGGACTAATTCCCAATCTCTGGAACATATTGCTCAAAGTGTCATAAACACTTTAGTCAAACAAAAAAAAGTGTCATAAACAGGATAAACTATTTTCTGTATTGCTTTACAAATTGAGAACTTTAAGACGATGCCATTACTTTGGTCTAGCGAATCCGATGGCTTACGTGAGCATCTTGTTGACGTGGACGGGGTCTCCGGTAATGAACCGAAGATTCGGGTACGAGATCTGACACGAGTCTCCGATCACGGAACTCTGATTCTGAAAGGAGTGTCGATTGATATACAGAAAGGTATGATCGTTGGTGTGATTGGTCCAAGCGGAAGCGGAAAGTCAACGTTTTTAAGATCCCTGAACCGTCTCTGGGAGCCGCCGGAGTCAACCGTTTTCTTGGACGGAGAAGACATAACGAACATCGACGTCGTTACTCTCCGCCGTAGAGTCGGAATGCTTTTCCAGCTTCCCGTTCTCTTTGAAGGTAAATCAAAGTTTCTCTCTTTCTTCTTCAATCATCATTAAAATCTAAAAAGTAGATTGCTTTTTGGTGTCTGCGTCGATGTAGAAGATGTTCAAGTTTTAAATTTTTCAAATTTGATTGCATTTGAGATTGAAGGTTACTCTAGTTTCATAGGTTGATTAGTGGAATTTGGAACCAATTTAAAGGGCAACTTTGATATGTTTGGTGCGCACAGGGACTGTTGCGGATAATGTGAGATATGGTCCGAATTTGAGAGGGGAGAAGCTGAGTGAAGAAGATGTTTACAAGTTGCTGAGCCTTGCGGATCTCGATGCTTCGATTGGGAAGAAGACTGGTGCGGAGTTATCTGTTGGACAAGCTCAACGAGTAGCACTTGCGAGGACTCTAGCCAACGAGCCTGAGGTGTTGCTTCTGGATGAGCCAACGAGCGCTTTGGATCCGATATCGACAGAGAACATAGAGGACGTTATTGTGAAACTGAAGAAGCAGAGAGGGATCACTACTGTGATTGTGTCTCACAGTATCAAGCAGATCCAGAGAGTTGCTGATATCGTTTGTCTTGTTGTTGATGGTGAGATTGTCGAAGTTCTCAAACCCAATGAGCTTTCTCAAGCTTCGCATCTAATGGCAAGAAGGTTTCTCCAACTCAGTTCCTAAAAGACCCAACAGTTTCAAAATCTCATTGTTCAAATAAATGCTGTCTGACATATAACAACAAAGCCTTTAATGGCTTGTGTCTATTTATCTTTTCTTGAGCAATTGAAAGAGACAAAGGTGTGATATGTAAGCATATATGCACAGAAAAGAATTTGAGTCTGAGATGCAGATTTAGAAACTCGGTTTGGTGATGAAATCTCCATCAAACGAACTAACAGGAACAACAGCAGGAGCTTTAGGTGAAGTGTCATCAAGTTGGATAATCTCTTTTCTTCCATCTCCTCCATTCTCAGCTCTCTCTTTCACCGCCTTTGTCACTGCGCCTAACGCGTTTGAAAACCACGTAGCTCCGCTTGATACATAAGGGTTAGCCATTAAAGCCGTTCCCGCAATGATTGCTCTCTCCTCTGCAGCTGCTAAAGCAGACTTTGTTATCTCCCTCACTTGATACCTCTCGTCCATCTCTCTCAGCTTCTCGTTCACCACGGTCGTTCCTATGCTTAGCTTCTCGCTCAGACCCATTTTTTCGTCGAGCGATGCAATGGTCGCTGAAGCGTTCGAGACCAAGTTGTGCCTGTCGTCAAAAGCTTTGGCTTTCTCCATCGCATCTTTGCCAAGTGCGTAACCTCTTTCCACCATGATGTTCACCACATCCTCCGCTTTCTTGACAGTGAAACCATTAAACGAACTTTCCTGCTAAAAACAGAGGGAAACAAACATGAAAACTGAAACTGATACTAAACCAATAAAGCAAAAGAGTTGTCTTTTTTTTTTGGCTTGGCTCCATTGGCTTTTACCGAGTCAAGTGCAAGAGCTTCTTGTGGTAGCTCGTAGTTCACAGCAGGAGTGATACTGACACGATGATCCGCAATCACAGCTCCCTAAAGGAGAAGTTTTAAACCGTAAGTAGTAAATTCAAGAAGACACCTTACATTCCAAATTATGCAAGAAACCATAAGAAAGTACCGTTAAGAGCATTGCAGTTTCTGCTCCTTGTGGATCCTTGAACGTAACATACGCAACCTGAGTTTCTTGCGTCTCACTGTGATAAAGTGACTAACTTGGTAAAGATTATCTTCTTTAACAATGAGATCATAACTACATCCGTTGTTTATACCTTCGTGTCTCGATGTAGTGAATGTCACCCGAGAAAGAAAAGAACTCTTTGACATCTTTCTTAGAGACATCGAGTGAAACATTACTTATCTTCACAGTTTTCACCTGCAACAAGTACGAGAAGTGAATGAAAACGAATCAAGATCTTTGCAACATTCCATCACACTGCTCATAAGACCTGCCAACACAGTTAAGAAACAACAGCAAAAAAAGTTTGGCAGAGAAGAAACATTGTTCATACAGGAGAGGCAGTTGATTGGGAATCCATTAGAATGTTGTGCTGAGTTTGATCCAAATGATTGAAAGCAGCCTGTGGGAGAGATCAAAAGTGAGATTTGATACTAAGAATCAAAGAGAAAAACTATATCTGTTGAATATTATAGATTGAAATTAGAATCTGGAAACTATAGATTCAAAAGGATGACCCCAAAAATAAAAAAAAAGTTTATGTTTGTTTTTTTTTTGTTTTTTGTAATTTGCTTTTTTTAGGTAACCGACACAGTAAAGAGATCTCAAACTGCATTTCATCAAGATCAAGGGACGATGATAAAGTTAAATGATTTTATCAACTTTCAACCGAAATAGCCAGAAAATCGCAGCAGAAATCTGAATTCTCAAAGAGTAGAACTTAAGCCATATTCAAAGGGGACATACAAAACAAAAAACGCAATTCGTTCAAATTAGATCTGAAAAGATTAGCCAGAAAAATGTTCGATGCAGTGAACTGAAAGACGAATCTGAGAAATTGATGCCGTGAAATTTTTCTTGCTGAGAATGGAGATAGCTTACCGACATTGTCGCGAGGATTCTCGGGCGGCGGAGAATCGAGCAAGTGTAAAGTGAAAAGCTAACAGATTGGAGAAGAATAATAAGAGGGGATTCAAGTCAGAGCTAATCAGAAAAACAATTTATGACTTTTTTTTCCTTTTCTTTTTAATGCGTCATCGACGAATTGGAACCAAAATTCTTAATTAGTCAACCAAAAGTCAGAATAATGATGGGACAAAACCTCAAAGTAACCACGGTTAAATCGGATGAAACGGTTAATTCCCCCATAATTGTAAATATATAACCGATAAAAATAACTAGTGAATAAAGAAAAAAATAATGAAAAAGAAAGAGAAAGAGTAAGAAGGAGTTTTCAAATGAGAACTTTTAAGATATTAATGAGAATTTTAAATTATATTTATCTTTTATCTATTGATTATAAAATATAACTATCTTAAAATAATATTATTTTTTTATTTGAGATATTTTATAGTATCTTATGGATAGATATGTTCTAAGACTATTTTCATTGCTAGGTTTTTACTAAATTTCTTATAAATTATAAAATAAAGAGTTTAAAGAAAAATAAGAAATCCATCATAAAATATTTTTAAAATTTTTCATAATAAAATATTATGATTTATTACTTACTGTTAAAAAACTATTATGAGGGATTTGCAATACAAATGTTCTAAGAGTATTTGCAGTAATGAATTTCTAAACAAGAATTTTTTTATCAGTTTTATAAAAATATTTTAAATATTACTAGCTTCAATTGTAATTCAAATCTAAACCAAATATATGAAAACACATGCGAAATGAGTCTCTCGTAGATTTCTTATGTATTTTTTATTTGAAAAACTTTTTTGAGCCACGTAAATACAAATAAATTAGTGTTGTATATAATAAATTTTTCATTAAATTTCTTAATATATATGAAAAAGTAAAAAAAAAAAATTTTAAGAAACAGATAGAATATAAAACATTAGTTTATTTGTATTTACAACTTAGAAACTAAATAGACAATAGTTTAGTACAAAGCAACTAATCGGTTGCAAAGCTGGCTCGAGTTCAAATAAATTAGTGAACTGCAAAAGCACTATTTGCTTTTTAGATCTCATAATGTTTATAAAAAAATTGCATCGATTGTGTTAACACTAACTCTGCAAACTTTTTTGCTTTAGAAATCTGAAGCTCCAAAACAATTTCATGAATTACGCTTTTCTTGATCCTTTTAATCTCCAATGATGCACTGTTTCATGAAAACATTTATATCCCAGCATAAACCAATACACTCGGGACCCTGGAAAACACAGAAACGATCAAACAAATGAAATGACTTAACATAATAGTTTGGTACTCCAATGAAATAAGTAACAAAACTGACCTTTTTGACTAGGGCGGATCTTATGTCTACGTAAAATTCACTCTATACACCACCAAAGGATCTAATAGGTTCAACATACATTGCTCTTTTAGAAAAATAATTAAAATTTTTGTATCAAAATCTGATCAAGTTTTAACAGATATTAATTGGGAGATGTTTCTATAAAAGATTGTAAGATAATGATTTTATAGTCTGGAACTTGTAAGACTGATTTAATGGGAGAGGGGAATCAAAGAACATCATACCAAATTGCTCAATTAAAAGCCTTGCTGCCACTACGCTTGGACATCTGCAAACAGTTCGCATAGCATGCAAAGACAAACATACCTTGGGGAGAGAAACGATTGTAGTTTTCTTCACTCAAAACCAAAATGACTAAAATAATACATCGGACTTGAGTTGTAAGAAACTTATCTCTCTTTCCAATAACATGCGTAACCAATCAAGTGACTAAAGATGATCATGTATCGTTAAGTGATGTGAAACCATCTAAACGTGAGTTGTGTTGTATTTTTTCTCCAATTATACATATTTGAAAATTAAGAAAAACAATTTCTAAACTTTAGTTTTCATCTTTTTAGTAGTACAGTAGAATATTTATAAATTAATACTCAATAAATTAATAATTATTATATATTAATAAATTTTATTGTTTTCAAGTTGGGTTAATGTAAAATTTAACAAAATTCTATAAGACAATAAGATAATACTTTTTTTTTGAAAATCTTATATAAATATACGAGTCAAATAATCAAACAAATTAATAATTATACATCTAAATATATATATATATATATAACTAATGTAATATAGTAAAATATGATTATATTATTGTTATAAGTTTATATATGTTATTGGACTAATCTTTTAAATTCATAGATATAACATTTCTGAACAAATTTTATAATCTCGAAAATATATAAATTTTTTATCGTATAATAAACTTTAAAACTCAAATTAAAATATATCTCTATAAATTAATAATCTATTAATTTACCAATTAATTTATAGAGATTCTACTATAGTATAATTTCTAAAATAAAATTTTATTTATTAATATATATTAATTGAAATACATGTTAAATTTTGATCGATTAATTTCACACATGTTGTGACCATTTTAATTACTAATTTTGAAGTTTAAGCTTTATATAATAAAACTAGATTATGCATTGCGTATACATAGAGTTTTAAAGTTAATTTTTACAATATATTTAAAATAAAAACAAAAAAATAAAAATAAAATAAAAATACAAATAGAAAATTACCTACTGACAGAAAAGTTAACAAAGAAATTATATTTAATTTATTTTATTCATGTTTGAGTTGTGTATTATTTTTACTATTTAGCTATTTATATATATACTAGATATATAACTCGCGTTACGCGCAATTCTGTATTAATATTTTGGTTTAAGTTTTTTTAGCTACTATCTTTAAAATTATTAAAAATATAATATATTTATAAAAAATTTCATTTATATAAGAGAATTTAATATATATATATATATAGTGTGTCATTTATCCTATATTTATTTATAAATTTTAAAAATCTATTAGGTAAAATAATAACAATGACACCTATCGAATTATCCAGCTTTGACGTACATATACATTTGATTTAGAGAAATATTTTCTTGCTAAGATTTTGGTATTATTTTCTGTTTTCCATATAATTTCTATAGTTCTTTTTCCGTGAAGGTTTATGTGTTCAAATATTTAGTTTTTATTGAAAATCTTATTGATGTTATGTACTATTGCATATATAATCCATGATTCATGTTGATTCACATTTAATTTTGTTAGGAAGCTGTAATGATCATGCAAAAGCATTTTTTTTCTTCTCCACCATGTCTTTCAAGAGTTTTATGTTATATTTTTATTCATTTTCATTGTTTTAATTGTTAAATTGAGTTCTTGTAGATTTTTTTTAAATGATAATTGATAATAATTTTTTTAATACATGTATTGTTAATTGTTAATTTTTTATTTAAATTTTAAATTTTAAACCATATTAACATTTTCTAGTTTAATAAATATGTTGATTTGGATCAATCAGATTGAATTTACTTTTTTTGTTGGACATAATTTGTTAAATTAACTTTTAATGTTTTAATTATACTTAACAATTTTTTGTTTGATTAAAAAGCTGATGTGGACCAATCATATCAAGTTTTTTAATCTCATGTAGACGCTCTCAATGCACTATATCATCAATTTTTATATATTATATGATTTTTAAAAAACTTAACGAGTTAAATTTTATATTTTAATATTTCTAAATAAGCTAAATCAAAATTTTAAAACTATATTAGACTTTTTCTTTTAAAAATATAATAAAAAATAGGAAACTTACTTTTTTGTGGAACACATTTGGCAAAATAACCCTAATCTATCAATGATTTGCAAATTAATCATTTTATCTCTTTTTCTGTAAGAAACTTAAAAATTAACAAAATACCATGAACAAATAACAACTCTATAATAAAATAGTAGGAGATATTATCGTAACAAACAATGTTCGATGTATTTGTTTGCCAACTTTTTGATGTGTGGTTATTTTGCCAAACTGCAAATGAAAAAAAAAGTCTAGTTTTCCAATTATTCCAAAATTAAATTAATTTTTTTTGTATTTATATAATTGAAAACTTACATGTGTCCAAATCTAATCGTTTAACCAATGTTTTCACACTTGAATCGAACCATCTGGTTGGTCCGGTTAGCCCGGAAACCAACCACTATCCCAGCCTGATTTTAGTTTTAGTATCTAGCATTTATATAAAACGGCAAAAATCCAAACAAATCTGCAATCGACCCATGATCTGGTAATCCACTGACCCGGTTGAACTAAACAATTTTCAAAAAAAAAAATTAATACGAATATAATATGTGATTTAATTGTAGGGTTTTGTCATATTGTTTTAATAATATCTTTTAACTCTTCTTCGCTGCTTGAGAAGAACATTTCATTTCATCTGACTGAACGAAACACTTCTTGTCCTTTGACTCAAACGAAACAGTATGTCTCGTGTTCTCTCTAACCTCCTTTTTCTTTGTTTAAAATTTTCTTTGTCTTAGTTGATCATTAATCTTGTTTCTAATTTTTGTAATGTATTATTCCCTTTTTATGTTTTGTCCCTTAAGAATCGATAATGTCTTACTAAAATTTGTTCTTTTTTTGTGTGATTTTAACAGGGAGTGAAACCAAAACCAAGCGAAAACTATGAAGAAATAGTAGCTGCAAATCATTCAATCCGAGAAAAAATGTTGTTGCTTGGTCCTCTATGATACAATCAAAGAAATCAAGAGAGAGATTGGTTTTAGAATGTTGATTTTGTCACACACAAAAATTACGAAATGACATTAATCGGATGAAACACCATCTTGCTGGTGTGAAAGGGGATACATATGCAAGCACAAAGGTTCCTGCAGATGTGCGATTCAAGATAATGAAAGCATTGAAAGAAATCTAGGGCAAGAAGAGGAAGAATATTCATTTTGATGATACAAGCTTAAATGATCCTAATATTAACAAATATTACAAACTTAAATGTCTTATAAATTTTTTTAGAAAATTAAGGAAATAAATCGATTAAAAATAACACATAATGTTGACAAAATGTTTTAACACAACATGTCTTTTGACTAAGGTATATAACTTTGACTAAGGTATATAACTTTAACTAATGTATATAACTTGACAAAATTGTAGTTTGACTAATATAGAAAATCTTAAAAATTAAGGAAACACTTTGATTAAAAATCTATATAAAAATAAACACCAACGTGTGTAGACTTCACCAAAAACCTTTCAAACCCATTAACCCAAATGGCTCGATCATCTGAATTTGCGTCTACTGTTACAATGGCTATTGTCATGACAGTTTTATGCTTGTTTCTATCCAACAGCAAGAGCTATGCCCGAAGACCGGCCACCTATTATGTTGGAGGCGAATTCGGTTGGGACACAATTATTCCGATGGACTCTTGGGCGCAAAACAAAACCTTTTATGCTGGCGATATTCTTGGTATGTAAAGAAATTTAAAAAAATTTCATAGTAATGTGATAGATAAAATAAATCATAGTTTAGTGGCATAATTTTAATCGGTTAAGAGTATAATAGGATTTGTTGCAAAAATCAGCTTTGTCCGATCCAAGCCATATTGAAAACTGGATTGGATTAATTTGGTCTTATAAAATATAATCCGGTCCAACTCTAATTAGAGTTGAATTAGCATAGCCCATCTATTTTGGTCAATCGACCCAATATTCTAATTGAGCATCTTAAATATACTAATACAATATATTTGTTGTGATATTACATTGCAGTATTCAAATACGATTATCAGATCAGCAATTTGGTGGTGGTAAGCCGAATCGGTTATGAAACATGCATACCGAACGCTGGATCGAAAGAGTATGAGTCTGGTAACGATAGGATCCAACTTCCTTATGGTGACAGCTATTACATCGGGACATATAATGAATATGATTGTGCCAACGGTGAGAAGATGGCCATCAAAGCATTGGCTCCAAAGTAAAAGAACTAATTAGTTGAAGGCATTATTCTTACTGTTTGAGTTATAAATTTGTAATAATTCATGCATTCAAACACCGAGAATGATAAAGACCGAAACTTTTTAAAGATTTAATATGAGAAATTTATAAAGAAATTTATAAGCATTATGTATGCTAAGACAAATAAGAAGACCATCCACAATACTCTTACCAAAAGTGTGATGCATATATACAGTATATGATATACTGGAGTCACTACCCAAATCACATGAAGCCTAAAAATATTCACTTTTCCTATTATTTTTCTTTCTTTTTGACATATCACAAGCTCGCCTTTGATTTATGAGTTTTTAGGTCAAAAGAAAGAGGTGTATACTATGCAAAAAACTCAATATCACAAAAGCTATTCATAGAGATGTTCAAGAGATTCAGAGAACGCTATAGCTAAATTTTTCCATCTAATTAATATGATTGACAAATTAAGTAGTGTCCTAGTCAAATTCATTGCACCAACAACATACGGTTGTCTTACAAGTTAAAATTTTCATATGAAAGTATCAAATATAAAAAACCGACATTATTACATAATTATGTTTTTAAACTAATACTCTCTTTATTGCATAAAAAGTGTCATTTTGATATTTATCATATAAACTAAGAAAAACTTGTAAATTTCTATTGTACCATTATTAATATACTAAATTAGTTTGTTTCTCTAATTAATCTATAATATATAAAAGTTGATGGCATTGTGCATTAAGGAAGTCCACATAGGACGAAGAAACTCAATATGATTGCTCCACATCATCGGTTTTCATTAATCACAAAAATATTAAGTAAGATTAAGATGAAGAAACTCAATATGATTGGTCCAAATCATCGTTATTTGTTAAACATAAAATGTTAAATTTGATTAAAATATTACAAAATTAATTTCTATTTTTTTTAAAACATTAATTTCATTTTATATATGGAAAAATCAAAATAAAAACCTTAAGTAACAAATAGAAAAATAATTAGTGTTAAAAAACAAAAATATAGTATCCTTCAAAATCAAATGAAAATTTAATGTCAAAAGAGTTAACCTAACAAAGAAAACCAATAACGTAAAAGCTAAAACTTATAATATAGATTAAGAAAAGTTCTAACTTCTAAATTAATTGACAAAAAAAAGAAAAAAATATTAATTTTGTGTTATAGATGGTAAATCATAATAAAAAAGGCTAAAGTAACAAATAAAGAAGAAAATTATGTTAAAAAAACTAAAATATAGCATCCTTCAAATTTAAATGGAAATTTAATGTCAAAAGAGTTAAACTATCAAAACAAAAATAAATATTGTAAAAGGAAATTAACTTAATATCTAAAACAAAGAAATTAACTTGAAAATTAATATAAAAATAAATTTAACAAAAAAACATTCGTATAAAAGAAATTAACTTGATGTATATGCTACATATTTTGAAAATCAATAACAAAAGAGCTTAATAAAATAAATATAAGTCCTAAGTATATCAAGTATATAAAAAAAATTGTATAAATTAGAATAATATATAAAATTACTATCAAAAGATGTAAAGTATCAAAAAATCTGTAATATATAAAAGATGATGGCATATTGCATTGAGAACGTCCACATAAGACGAAGAAACTCAATTTGATTGGTCCACATAATCGTTTTTTATTAATCACAAAAATGGTAAGTATGATTAAGATGAAGAAACTCAATATGATTGGTCTACATCAGCATTTTTTATTAAACATAAAAATGTTAAATTTGATTAAAACATTACAAAATTAATTTCTATAATTTTAAAACACTAATTTTGTTTTATAACTATTTATGTTATTTTTAGCTTTCAACATATTATAATTTACTAACTTGATATTTGGGCTAACATTTTTAATAATCAACATAAAAAAAACTTAACTAAAAAATGATGCTATAAGATTTTAAGAAAAGTTCATAAAATTAAATTGAACATTTAAAACATGTTAAATGATCATAATAACTAAAATAAAATTAATATAAAAAACAAATTTAACGAAGAAAAAATATTCGTATAAAAAAAATTAACTTGATGTCTATGTTACCTATTTTGTTAGAAACAACAAAAGAGCTTAATATAAACAAATATAATTCCTAAGTATATCAAACATAAAAAAACAAATGATATAAATAAAATTTAAATTTAAAATTACTATCAAAAGATGTAAAGTATATAAAAAATTATAACAAAGTTAATTTGAAATTAGTTTCAAAAAAATCATAATTTAAATATAAATAACTATCTAAAGTTGTAAAAGGTTTACATGAGTAAAATATACAATGATGAATACATTGGGTGTTTCAGATTTTAGAAACTAACAAAGAAAAACACAACATAAATAACTTTACATTCAAAATTTAACAAGTTCTATAATCTGATTTTTATACATAGTCACTACTTATATCTGAACCAACATTAATAACATTTGAGTAACACATTCTAAAATTCTATTTAAATAATAAAATATGAGAGAGTTATAAATTAAACTTAAATTAGTATTTATAGATAAAATATTCAAATCAAAGCATACAAATTGCAGATAAAAGATAAAAATAGTAAAAAATAATGCGAAGACTCCACACCGCCGATCCTACAAGTATAAAAACTAAAATTATCAAATATTAGACTGTAGAAAAATAGATCTCAATGAAAACTGAATAAAAATATAAGCTAAACCTCATAGATGGCCTGGTGAAGAATGAAGAAATGGCTTTGCATGATCATTGCAACTTTCTAACAAAACTAAATGCAAATCAACATGAATCATGGATTATAAATGTATATATAAACAGCATCCCATTCAATAAAAAAAAAACTAAATATTTAAACACATATACATTAAAGATAAAAGAACTGTAGAAATCCTATAAAAACCAAAACAAAATACACAGATCTTACCAAGGAAATATTTCTCTAAATCAAACGTATGTATATGTCAAAGTTAGATAATTTGATAGGTGTTATAGTTATTATTTCACATAATAAAACTTAAAATTTTATAAATAAAAAATATGAGAAAACTACACATTATATTTTAATTTCTCTTATATAAAGACTTTGTTTATAAATCTATTTTAATTTGGATAATTTACAAGATAATACCTTAAAAAAATTAAACTAAATATTAAATCAGGGCTTTTCTCGCTGGGCGAGCGCATCCAATTCAAAAGTCCAGATTCGCGCATAGCACGGATTATAAACCTAGTAAACTAAAATAATCAACACACTAATAACTCTCATGTCTCTCATAGAGATGACACATCAGATTTTTCAAGCTTTACAAACATGACACTTCAGCAAAAAAAAAAATCACCAATTAAAACATTTTATTAATACAACTTATCTACTTATTTTAACTTTTAAACTTAAATCCATTAAAAACCTAAATACTTTTTTTTGTTAATATTTATTTTATTTTTTACCAAACCCAAGCTCAACTAATAAATAACATCAATTAAAAATCTTTGTTTTTTATCAAATCCAAGTCCAAATAAAAAATTAAATTTTTATTTTATTTTTTTCCAAACTCGAACCCAATAATAAATAACAGCAAATTAAAAAATAAAACAATTTCTAGCTATCTCGTTGTTTGATAGAATTGTATATGATTGAAGAAAGTATAGGCTCAACATCAACTATGTTTCCATGACAACAACGCAAAAAACTTTATGTTATAAGAAGCTCACACATCAACAAACATTTGAAACAATAAAAACATAACAATACTACATATCACCAACACAATAATAAAATCTGTTTACTATTTTACTGACCCATTAAAAAGCTCAAAGTTTACAAAAAATGGAAGTGGAAAGAAAATGCGGAGAAGCTCAGACCATCACAGCTTGAAGATTCGCATTTCTGGTGGTTACCAAGAACAAATCAATAACTTTTTAATTATTCTCCGCCGCTAAGCCTCACATGAGAGCTTTCCATCTCTCATGGTTTCAGTTATTCTGCTTTTTGTCTCCACTTTCGCAGCTCTGTAGCTCGGGCTTTCTCCCAGTCATTCATGAAAACCTCAATCTCAAACACCGAAATCATCTTTTTTTCCGGCTCGGTCTTTGCTCAATTTTTCGGGTTGGACGTGAAAGCAAAATTTCATTGTTTGAATAGGAAAACAAAAATGTTTGGAAAAATGAAAATTCTTGGTTTTGACGAGAAAATGAGATTTTCTGTTTTGGCGTGGAAATAAAATTTCTTGATTTTGATGGAAAATGCAATTTTTTGGTTTGCTATTTTGACGCAGAAAAATAATTTCTCGGTTTTGATGAAAAAATACAATTTCTTGGTTTGCTGTTTTGACGGGAAACAAAATTTCTGGGTTATGATTGGAAAGCAAAATATCTCGGTTTTGATACGCAATGCAATTTTTCTGTTTTTGAATATTATAAAAATATCAGTGTCTCTCCAAGAGATGATACATATGTTTTTTATGTTATAAGAAAATGACACATTAGCAAAAATATGAACCAATAAAAATATAACAATAATATATATCATCAACACAATAATAAAATCAACTAACTATTTTGCTGACCCATAAAAAAACCAAAATTTACAAAAAAATTGATGTCGAAAGCAAAGGAGGAGAAGCTCAGACCACCAAAGCTTGGAGATTCGCACTTCCGGTGGTTACCAAAAAAAAATCAATAACTTTTGGTTATTCTTCGTCGCTAAGCCTAACATGAGAGCTATCCATCTCTCATGGTTTCAATTATTCTGGTGCTTTGTCTCCATTTTTGCAGCTCTGCAGCTTGGCCTTTCTCCCAGTCTTTCATGAAAACCTCAACCTCAGCGCCATTGACATCAGAAACACTGAAGTCGCCTCTGTTTCCGGCTCGGTCTTCGCTCAATTTATCGGTTTTGATGTGAAAGCAAAATTTCATGGGTTGAACAGGAATTTTTTCTTTTTGGGAAAATGAAAATTCTCGGTTTTGATGGAAAAATGAAATTTCTCGATTTTGGCGTAAAAAATAAATTTCTCGGTCTCAACGGAAAAATACGATTTCTCGGTTTGTTTAAAAAATAAATTTTGTCGGTTTTGATGAAAAACAAAAATTTTCGGTTGTGATGGGAAAACAAAATATCTCAATTTTGACAGGAAATGCAAATTCTTGGTTTTGATGGACAACACAATTTTCTGTTTTTT